ATTTGGTGCGATTTAATTGGACAGTGTTCAAGTGAGGTGGTACTCCCAGAGTACCTAAGAATTTCTCATTTTGAAGACAATAATGTTTACTTTAATTTCACAGCTTTATCTAAAATCTAATTCTGATAAATAACCGCGCCATGTTTAAAAGTTGATATGTGCTTAGCCCATTAATTGATAAGGCGCAGTTTCACTTCTTATTGCTGTGCACATCAATCTGGACAACTAATACAGATAATTTTTAATGTAGATAATTATAAGAAGGGAAGTTTTAAGAAAAATTAATACATTTCTTTAAAATAACTGACTAAATTAATTTTTTATTTATAAATTAATTATTTAGCTCTTATCTTTAGAATCGCAAAAATAATAAAAGTTGAGATTTTCCTTTGATAATATGTAGCAGACCTAAATGAAAGAATTAAGATCGATCTGGAGTATTGTAACAAAAAAAAAAAAAAAGAGTGGAGATCTGGAAACTAATCAAATATAATAAAATATTCATCATATTGTTCAGAAGAAGAATGGGGCGAGAGAATGATTCTTGCTCACTTAAATTACAAACCAAAACCCTAAAAATTAAATCAAATAAACTATTCTTAAACAATGCAAAAGCCTGTGAAGTTGCAGTGGGGAGGTTCCAATTTTAAGACGAGAGGTTAACTTTCAGTTTGTCAAAGAAACTAATTCTGATAACTGACCCTCCCATGTTCATTTGTGGATGATAAGAGCTTAGCCCATCTTTTTAACTGAATATGCTCTTTTTTGGATTTAAGTCTTATTGCCCGTAATTGCTCCCTATAGTATTCCCATGAAGATGTGTAATAATGTTTTTTAACTAAGAATAACCAAATGTAAATCATCAGCAATTGATGAGATAAATAGGTTATGGTGAAAATGAGTCACGCCAATTTCTTTTTAATATGGCTATCTAACTAGATAGATTCGAGCATTATCAGACTCAACTAAAAGCAGTTGTCTCAGAAACATTTTTTATATTCATACAGACTTCAATTCAATACCTTATACTTAAGTAGGTTAGTAGCTTGCCTATTTCCTTTATTTAATTAATTGGTGAAAAGTAGATTGGCAATTAACTTGACTCCAATGTATAATTTTTTGTTTGTTCACATAAGAATTCACATTGACAAATTATTTCTTCGATGAAGTAGATAAACAATCCTCAATTTAGTATTTTGGTGATGATCTGCATTTCTAGTACATATATTTGATATGTTCTTATAATAATATATTGAATTTTAATTTAAAAACTTCAAATCTTTGTACACTATTTGGTGTATATATATCTTATTTATTTATCAATATTGACATCAATTCTTAAGCACTTATGTCATTAATTTGACGAATTTCCATTTCGATTATGTTCTTGTGAGTGTATCGAATCCTTTACATGTTCAAACGGTTTAGATCCAGAAAAACAGAACCACCCCAGCCTTGGTGAATTTCCCATTTGGGCTTTCCAATGGGCCAATTTGAGGTTAGAATCTGAAATTTTCGTTTATTTGGACTTCACTTTGAGGTTAAAGTTTATTTAGTTTCAAGCGCATTAATGACATTTTCCCGATTTGGAAAAAAATGGTTTGGGGGCTGTATTGCTAAAATTGATTTTTATTTTGTACCGAATTAATCATGTATTTTTTGAATTATGAGTTTTCTAATTCTCTGAAAATTTTGGGTTTATAAAATTTTTTAAATAACTCATACAGTAAAAAAAGGCTAATCAGGTGGAAACAAAAGTTAATATTTTATATAAATTTGAGGAAAAATTGTTTAGTTTGAAGAGGTGGGAAATCAAACCAAGGAAAGAAATAAAACGCTGCGCTGCGCTTTTGCCATTGTACCAAGGATAGGAATTGTTAAAAAAAAAAAACAAAAAGAAGTTTCAAGAATCAAATTTAACAATTATGTGAATGAAAATTGAGTTTCAAATACGTAAAAATTTTTTTGTATAACATAAATTTTAATTTTAAAAAATTTATATTTGTTTTTAAAATAGATGAGACATCTTGTAATTTAAGTAAAATAAAGAGTATTGTCAGTATATTTTACTCTAATATATATATATATATATATATATATAGTCTCTGTAGTTCTCATTAGAAGAACCATTTAACTAATCCGCACATACTAATAAAAAATGTTAAAAGCATTAAATTTGTTATAAAATACATTTCTAATATCATTCTCATTAATTATGCTAAATTCCGCCATCATATTAATTTCTACTCTCTCACTATGCCCTTATTAAATGTGGGCATAGATAAAAAAAAAAATTTAATACTCATTAAAACTAGTAAAGACTCTTATAAAAAGGACAAAAAATTTCTTCTAATTAAAAGAGCTCCTATAATAAGAAATCTAGAAAGCGTGTGTACATACGTGTTTGTATAGTATACACGTAATCTTACATAGAGTATCATTTTACACATTCATAAATCATGAACATTAACCAATGCCCAACACTACCATCCACAGTACAATTATATAAGTAATCATGACTTCATTAGATGCAACCTCCCTTGTATTGTTTCATCCGTCTAACTTAAAGGTCCGTGGCCTAACTCACTCATCAGATTAAACAAAGCTCTCAGGTGCTTGGGATGTACCCAACTAAAAAGGTATAGAGCATAAAATTAACCTATATATCGCTCACTTCTTTAAAGAAGCACATTACAAGGTGTCACCACATTTTCCCTATTACCAACAAGCCACTGTTCGTTGAGTTGGTGGCATACGACGTGGTCTAGTGAGTGGTTAAAAGTCTTCATCATACTTTTAAACACTCACTAAAGTTTTATAATTTCAATAAAACATATTATTACCTTGGGTCCTAAATATAAGAACTAGTTAAAATTTTATATTGTTCTAAATATAATATCTCAATTCATTTTGTCTCCCATATTTATTTATTTTTCTCAAAATAATCCCAATGGTGATTGCACATATTAAAAGATTTTTTATTATGATATACATAATTAACAAGGATATTTTGAAAAGGACAACACCCATTTATTACGAATAACTAACTTAACTAATTTTTTTAATATTTATAAATTAACTATTTAGCTTTTATGTTAAGAATCAGATGAGCATATCTAAGAGGCTTTAACTAAGGTATAACGATTCAACACTTTCACATGTCCATTGGCATTTACAATCCAGCGCCTTAACAATTTATGACATTATGTAAATAGACACACGCACAAAAAAGTGCTGTATCCATTTATAATTATAAAACAAATTAAATTATATAAGTGACTGCTAAGTTTGATTTCTAAATTTTTGTTTTGACCAAGATACTCCTATTTAGGAAAAAAAAATTTCTAACACATATATTTGTTATAAAACATTAATTTTCATTATACTATAAAATTTTATGATTTTAATTTTTTTTATCACATTTTATTGAAACTTACTTATTTAGATTTCTTTTGAATCGATAAAAACATAATTCAAATTCATCATATAGTATAAATGATGTGAGTTTGAGACATCTTATTTATCTCGCCTGAACACTTCATCTAAGATTAAGAAAGATAAAAACAAAAAGATATATAAACGAAAAGATTTCCCCGTTCACACTCCATCCATTTGATCATAACAGCTCTAGAAGCTACATGATTCCACATAATTACAACACATTTGATAGCTTTATGATGTAACTTACAGGGATATATCCAATATATCTTATCCGCATGTGTTTATTATCTAACATCTTGTTGAATCGAACATTTCTGCCCCATAGAAATTGTTGTCTGAAAACCCAAGAACATGGTCAGAACTATTGCTAAAGCAGCTGTAATCTGTCATTGGAATTAAATGCTTAATTAGTTGGAAGTTTAAGAATAAACATATCCACATACAGAAATATTTATGTTTATTAAAGCTGCCTGCTTATTAATGAGTTTGAAGGCATATAATATACCCCAGTTCCATTGTTTTGGTTGATGGCTCACTAGATTGAGATTGTGGCTGCTGGCTCAGCTGCAGATTGGTATATGGAGGATTGAAACTCCCATTTCCTTCATTTAGAACGGCTACTTCACAAATCTAATTAAGAAGATAAAACTTTATTAAGAATTTAAAAGAAAACTTGAAACACTTGGCTTATCAACTTAAATAGTACCTTTTTCAACTCTGCATTTTGTTTACTAATGAATTGTATCCTTCCATAAAGTTCAACATTTTCTTGACAAATTTGATTTCCCTGCATTGGCATCAATAAATTAGAATTTGTGGGAATACCTTTCACATATACATGGCAAGATCAAAAACACAATTTCTTGAATACCTTTTGTTGTAGCTCTTTAATCTCATCAGTTAAGATTTGATCCTGCGGACAATTTAATGATCAAGTACGCTACATGTCCTGTAAAATGGTGAGATGTTAAATTGAATGAAAATTTGAGTTGAATTGAACTATCATACCTTTTTGATCTGGACACATTTTAAACTCATCTTCAGTTGATTTTCCAAATTTTTCACTTCGTTAATGCCCAAACCAGAAAGTTGTTCACCCATCAATTGCCTGCATTTTCCAAAAGGAAATAAATTACTTGGGGTTTATTGCTAAATAGTTCCTGTTTATTATATTCAAAAGGGAATGAACAGTTTTGAAGACAGCTCATGATAGTAACTTTGTGTGTTGAGATCAACATTTTGTCACCAGAATTTAATAATTCACGTTCCAGTGTATCTGATTTACTTATTATACCTGTGCAATTCCTGCAAGTGTTGAAGTTCTTGCCGCAAGACCGTTGCTTCTCTTTGCCAAAACTACCAAACACAAAAATGTAGTATTGAATCTAAGGAAGAAGGAACGAATCTCTAACTCATGAGCATGAAGATGATTCTAGCTAGCCATGCATGGAAGCAAGCAGACTTGAGAAAGTTTACAATCACATATATAAAACTTGGTAATCATGACGAAAGGGACTGTTGAGAGCAATGGTAGTTATGTTCGTTTAGTCCGTTATATATATAGTTATACCGCGTTGACAAACACGTGGGGGTGTGTGTGAGTGTACTTAAGAATGGCCTATGACTATGCATAGATGTGTAACGTAATATCAGTATATAGAATGCAGTTTTTCACCTCTTCTCCCATCTTTCCGCGATCTTTTTTATCGTTCTCCTTCTGTAGTGAAATCTTGCTTGGAGCTAAAGATAACACTGACAAGTGCAAGTATATATATACTAACAATTGGACTCATGTGTATATAAATGTCTGTATATATATGAGTTGTGAATGCCTAGTAACTAAAAATGACTTTCATATGAAGAAACCTTAAAAGTATATATTGGAGGAATGAGGCATTCGGTCTCGTACCTTGGCTTCTGAAGCTGCATTCATAAGCGGATGTTCCTCTTTCTGTTTATTGTAGCGCTCAATAATTGACTTCAGGCTGCCATATTAAGCAGAGAATTCAACCAATACGATGAAAATTAAATCAAAGCTTTAGGGCTCAAATAGAGGAGGATTAATGCTATGTATGAAATGCTAATAAATAGATTCTGAATATTGTATCAGTAATTAATAATAACCCTTCCTCCTAAATATGTTTCAAAATGGTTAATTTTCATAGGCAAGCCATAAAGTAGGAGTGAATTGACTTGATCATGATATTGATAATTAATATACGCATAGACCCATTACACACATCCCTATGGGAATTAAAATGCAAGTTTATGACTTATTCAAGTATTTCAATTCTTACAAAAGTAAACTACTTTTACATTACCAACAAAAGTGGGTTCATCAATTGATTTAAGACATGCTTACCTTGATAGAGTCTCGGGTTAAAGTATTGTGTAATGAAAATAAAAATGTTTGTCCTTAGAACTTTGCATTCATGTGGTTTAACCCGATTCAATCCGAACCTAACTCCTAGAAACTAGTATATATGTTTAGTTTGAATTTGTAAGTTGTTTTATTTAAAACAGGTTAACCTAAAAGATGCTAAGGTCTCTATTCTAGATAGTTCGATATGGATCGTATTATAAAAGTAGTTTTATTAAATTTTCAGATGTATTGTAATTCTACACAATATTGCTATCTTTATGTAAAGCTTAATTGTTTATCCTTTTGGAACAATACACCATACATTATATTGAAGCACAAAACTTGAGTCAGGTTCGTGAATTTACAAGTGCACATATATGTTTTAGCAACTAACAATAACAGCAGAACAATAAGTGTTCATATTTTATAAGTGAATTTAATTACAATTGCGCACACACATAACGATTACCAATAACAAAATAACATGTGTCTATTTGAAAATTTACAAATGCTAATTTACATTATAAGATCCTATACAAAAATTTATAGCAAGCGTGTGAATTTGCAAATACACGTATACATTTTAACAACTAACAATAATAAAATAACCCCATCATACATAAGTTTTGTCTTTTATTAAAACCTGTCAAAGTGGAAGCATTTAGATCTGCAAGTATTACTCTTGAAACCAAACCTATCTTTGTCAATACTAACCCAAACCATGTTTCCACTATCAGCACACCCTCAGCTTCTCACAATTCAAAACCAACCTTAAGATGCCTTATGTAAGTATGTGCCAAGTGGAAGTTCAAAAGATGGAGTTTTAATTAAGTCAAAACTATAACGACTAAATGATTAATTTTTCCCATATTGTTATATATAAGAGATGTTTTTAAATGTGTGTATGTATTTGTATTTCTATGGATCTATGTATATATGAATATGCCAGCTAAAAGTGCCTGCTGTGCAGTTCGGTCTAACCAGAAAAGTTTACCAGTCTGCTGTGTAATTAATTTGGATAGTTATATCTTACAGGAAGTGAAGCTAGTTCTCGCTTTGTAACACATATGTAATGTATGTAAGCAATCTAAAGTCTTAAAACGAAGAGAATATAAATTATAGGCTCAAATCAAGAGTGATCTACAATAGAAAGAACAAAGGTCCATAGGAGAAAAAGAGAACAACAAGCGTCAAAGGTCAAGTCTAGAATCAGAGAATAGTAATTCTGAAACTAACACAATTCAAACACACATGCGTCACACACACATATATCAAGCCAAAGCAATCATTTATAAGAGAAAACTAAAGAATCAATTACAAGCTCGCATGATACACTTAAGTAGATGCAAAAACTTAGAAAGTTTGTCTTAGAAAGAAACAATATCTAAAGGCATATTATAATGGAAAGAGAGAAAGGCAGAGAAAATGCTGTGAGCAGGGCTTCTTCTGAAAAGACAAAGTAAATGAAGCGGGGAACAAGGTGTGTATATACACACACACACACACACACACACACACACACAAATGCACATATACCTGGAGCTTCCATATTCATAGAGCTTGTCGGTGTTAGAGAACACCATGACCCCAACTTGTGCGTCACAGAGGATCGCAAGCTCCTTTGCTTTCTTGAACAAACCACTTCGTCTCTTTGAGAAAGTCACTTGCCTGTTGGTTATATCATCAATCCTCTTAATCGCAATCTTCCTTTTTCCCATTACTTCGCCTCCCAGATCAACTGCACAAGAAATCTGTAAAGCTACGAAAATTCATCAAAAGAAAAAACTTAAAAAAAAAAAATCATTCTTAAAGGAATCAGAGAATAATTTGCTCCAAAACCACACAAATAACCAAAAAAAAAGAAAGAAGAGAAACATAAATACAGAATCAAAATAAACATTGCTTATATGCTTGACAAGCTGGAGGAACTCACGGAAGAATAGAGGGAGGAAGAAGAAGACGAAGAAACAGGTTTGTCTGGGAAGGTCCTAATGAGAGGCATTTTGGTGAATGATGCCCTTCGAATACTTAATCTCGAAGGCTTGGGATAATAATAAAAAAATAGTCCAATAGCTAAGCATAGGAGATGACATAGGGCACAGAGGTTTGGGCCGTTGACTAACTGTAACGGCCGGGCACTGGCCGTTAAATCACATTACACATTCATAAATCATCAACATTAACTAGTACAAACATTCATTCATAAATCATTGTTATACTGTTGGCTGAAACTATAGGCTAAACTTAAAAATCACGATGCAATCCACACAATTGATTAATCAAGAATTCTGGTACTCGAGATGTATCTAGCTAAAGGCATAGAGCGTAAGATCATATATATTATGATTCTCCTTCTTAACTAAAGAAGCAAAGTAGGCTTTACAATCCCATGTTTCTACCTTGACGACCATGTAAGTATTAAGGAACGAAGTCATACAAAATGGCCAACTAGTATGTGCTGAGTGGTGGCATACCACGTGATGAGGCTAATTAAAAGTCTTCATCTCATCTTGGTCCATCAACATTGCATGTGTCATTTATCAAATCATATAGACGAATAGGTTTAAACAAGTATGCTTGAAAAGGATAAACTTTGTTATTAGCTATAAATATAATATCACAAGCATGTTTGAAAAAGAAACAAGGTACATTAAACTTTTATAATATTATCAATGATATCATCATAGGGCAACAGCCATGCTTAATTAAGAAGCTTTAAGTAAGGACCAACGATTCAAAAGTGAACATATTTTAAAATTCAGCCGCTTCAGCAATTTATGAAATTATATATAGACACAGACAAACATATATGTGATATCCGTCTTCATAATTAAACTAAGCGATATGCAACATTTTGTCAAACAAATTTATTTTTTATTTTTGAATTACGTTAAACCAACATAGTTTGCTGCACTTGCATTCTTCTCATTTTCTTGCCAAGTTTAGAACTAAACTTGAGTAAGCCTCCGTACGCTGCCCAGGCTTTTGAATTTTTCTAATGAATAAAGATTGTTAAAACTGCAAGAAAAAAATTATAAAACTTGTAAAATCTACTCATGTACACAGTGAAAGAAATAGGAACTATGGATTTATGGATTCATGTTTATGATTTGAGTATATTGATTTGATTGAATAATAATTAAAAAGCCTATTAATTTCCATGTTTACTTTAACAATTGTTTTATACATATGAATATATAACCAACCAACTTATCAATATATATAATAAAATCTATAGACCGTTTTTCGGGGGGTCCTTTTACCCTCAGGACAAGCAGAGTCTATAACCTTATTCTTCATCCTTCATGTCAGTAAGGAAAATATAGGGCTAGTTTTTATATATTCTCATGGCAAGAATGAATCAATAAATTATAAAACAAAACCCTAAAAGTTAAATCCAATAAATTAGGGAAAAGTGAGATTGAGATTGGCAAACATATTTGAAGCTAAAGCCCTAGGCAAAAAAATCTACACTCTATCTTTAATTTTCTGTATCTTTTCTTCCATCGGGTGCATTAATTTTTTCTTCCATATTTTGTAATTCAACTTCTTATTTTTAAAACATGTTTGTAAGTAAGTTCTTAATCTTAATTTCTCCAATAAATTATTAAATATACAATGCAAAGCCCTGTGATACCGTACGCATGCTCTTCATAAGGTCATCAATACCCAAGACGGAGGTTGCAGTTTTTAACACAGCAGGGTTCACTTTTACTTTGTCTAAACTCTGATGATAAAAAAAAAGGACTGCACCATGTTTGATTATATTGTTGATAATTGATGATTTTAAAAATTATTTGCTTATTTATTTATTATAAAACGGCAGGACGAATCGAATAAGATTTACTCTTGTAAGTTCTTGCCTCATTCCCCTGTTTCATTAATTGGTAAAAAGCAGACTGGCAATAACTTGACTGCTTCATATATATAATTTATTATGCGTTCACATTGACAACCTGACAGTTTGTTTCTTCGGTAAAGTAGTTTTAAAAAAAATCCACAATTTTGTATTTTAATTATCTACATTTTTATTACATATACTCGATATGTCCCTATAAATTTTATTGCAGTTTAATTTAAACTTCCGGTGTACGTACATTGATTGGTATATTATTCTTTATTTACTTATCAATATTGTTTACTGAAAATTTTTGGCAGAAAGTAGCCAGACTGGTTATAGCTTCACTGCTACAAATAATTTGTTATTCGTTCACACTTGCGTTCACATTGACAACTTGTTTCTCGGGAAAAGTAATAATTAAACAAGCCTCGATTTAGTATTTTGACTATGTACATTTACATATGTTTTGTACGTTCCTACGAAAATATTGACTTTTATTTTGAACGTCGAATGTACATTTGGTATAATGTCTATTTACTCATAAATATTTGCCGATTCTTAAGTACTCTTGTTGCGTTATTTGAAAATTTTTGTATTATACTTGTATATAGCTATTTACATGGTCAAATTTGATGGGATAATTTGTCCATTAGTAGGTATGAGACGTTAACATGTCCTTTGAGAAGCTAATAAAGAAAGAATTAAGTCAAGATTTCATTGATAATTTCCATTATTTTCTTATGTTTTTCTTTCGTATATTGGGCTTTTCACACTATAAATTAGTTATTAATTTAGTTTTACTTGCGCAAGGGTATTTTAGAAATTTCAGTGCTTAAATGCATATTTTTCTTGAATTTTAATTCCCTTCGATTATGATCTTACATGATATTGTTTCTATGTGTAGGTGACAATTGCATCTATGACACAACTTAAATTAATTGGAGAATGGAGATTAATCTAAGGGCTTATATTGCACAAGAGGAAAGAGACTAACCTCTAGGACACACAAGTCAATTCCCATATAGTTAGATTTATTTTTAGACTTTATTAGTTATCAGTTAGATTTTTCTTGTAGGTTTTATTAATTATAGTAAGGACTGGAAGGAGTAATTTACGATATTTTACCCTTCTTCCAATTTTTGGTTTCCTATAGCAATATGTATATATTGTAGGGTGGCTATTATGCCATACAATATAATGTTGATTGGAAAAAAAAAATTCATTGTTTCGGTGTGGTGTAAATAATGTTGTTATTATTATACCATGCATGTTGATAAATACGAATTAGACTAATTATTTAACTAACAATTAGTTAAATATCTTTATGTAAGATTCTCCATATATGGGAAGAGTGAATATAAAATTGAAGAGCCTTTTTTCTCCCAATTTGGACTTGAGGCATCTAATGTGCTTTTTTCTAATGCTCTTCATTGTGCCTCCAACCTTCCAAACATGTTTTTCCTTTTTCTTTTTCTTTTTTTAAATTGAAGACCCCAAGCCCGACTTGATATTGAGCTCTTCAGCAAAGGTATTGCTCTGTTGTTATAACTGATATGCAAGTCGATTGTATCTCATTTTCACATATCAAGACATGCATTAAATTAATAATATTTTTCACATCTGCCCTATTAAAGAAAGGGTGTTAAAAAATACCTGTTTTTATTATTATATTCAGTAGGAGTAAAATTGCAAAAAAAAAAAATGTTATTAGTTACCTTATAAGTGACTTATATTTAGAAACAAACTATTTTACTACAAGTGACTTGCATATACGAACAGAGTGGTATATGTAAACAAAGACTCTTCGGTGTCCGAATTCCATCCATTTGATCACAACAGATGTAGAAGCTACGTGCATAATACCAGACTAGAAACATTTGAAGGCTTTAATATATCTATATAATTTACAGAGATATGTGGAATGTGTCTGATCCATATATAACAGAAACATTTGATCAAATATGCATTGATGCTATTCCTGATGAGTTTATTATCTAATAACTATCTTTTTGAATTAAAACATTTATCTCCCCCATAGAAATTAAGACCTGATCTTCCCACAGCAAAGGTGTTGTCTGAAAACCCTAGACGGTCAAAGAGCTACTGCTATAGCAGCCGTAATCTGTCATAGGAATCAAGGGCTTAAATGTAATTTTAAGAATGAACAACACAAAAATGTTTATATGTGTGTGTTCAAGCTGTATATTTATTCACCAGTTTGAAGGAATATAATATACCCCTGTTCCATTGCTTTGGTGAGTGGCTCACTAGATTGAGATTCTGGCTGGCTCAGCTGCAGATTGAATCTCTCGTTTTCTTCATTCATAACCCTTGCTTCATAAATCTAATTAGATAAAAAAACTTCATTAAGCTTGTTCATTGGACATGCACACACACACACACGCACGCACGCACGCACTTGCGAGAGAAGTAAATTATTTGAATGAAAAGATGAATATATGGTCTAACTCGATAAAATGTTCTGTATCAACTTAATTACCTTTTTTAACTCTGCATTTTCTTTACTAATAACTTGTGTCCTTTGATAGAGTTCAACATTTTCTTGACTGATATGATTTCCCTGCAATATAGGATCAATAAATATTAGTGAGGATTTGTGGGAATACATTTGATATATACACGGCAAGATCAGAAACAGGATTTCTTGAATACCTTTTGTTGTAGCTCTTTAATCTCATCAGTTAAGATTTGATCCTGCGGATAACTTAATGATCTGAGTTTTTAAAATGAATGGTGTGATGTTAAATTGAATGAAGATCTGAGGTGAACTGAACTATCATACCCTTTTGATCTGGACACGTTTTAAACTCATCTCCAGTTGATTTTCCAAATTCTTTACTTCGTTAATGCCTAAACCAGAAAGTTGTTCACCCATCAATTGCCTGCATTGTCCAAAAGGTAATAAATTACTTGGCGTTTATTGCTAAAGAGTTCCAGTTTATTATATTGAGAATGAAATAATTTTGCAGTTTTGAAGAAAGCTCATGATAGTTGAGCGGGTTGAAAAGTAGTGTGTGTTGAGATCAACATTTTGCTAGCAAAATGTAATAATTCCAGTTCCAATGTATCTGACTTTCTTCTTACCTGTGCAATTCCTGCAAATGTTGAAGTTCGTGCTTCAGGATCGTTGCTTCTCTTTGCCAAAACTACCAAGTGCAACAACAGATATATATGAAATAAATACAGCACAAAAATGTTTTTCTTCGGTCCTTAATATAGGACCTAATTGTTAAGTTAATTTTGACCCTAAATATAAGACCTATTTCTCATATTTATCAATTTTTTCTAAATTACCCTTATGGATACTCTTTCAACCATAATCAAGTAAGTGAGGGATGGAGGATATTAAGAAAGATGATCATGATGTTTTAAGAAAAATATGTCATATTTCTTATAATTAACTAACTTACCTAACTTCCTTAATTTAATCAAATTAGTTAAATAGGTCTTTTATTAAGGACTGGAGGAGAATATTGAATGTAAGGAAGAAGATCAACTGGGGATGGTTAAGGTGGTAGGCATTGGGTTCAAAAACCCTTGGTAGGAGATTCTTACCTCCTTGACAGTCCGTTTGGTATGAGGAAAATAGAGGAGAAGAAAAATTTTAATGATCTTGATTTAAAACATTAGAGAAGTAGGGTTGAAAGCTTTTAGTTAATTTTTATTACTCTTTCATCTTATATCTTCTATTTATTAAAATCTTAAAACCCCACTTCTTCAATTTTTTAAATTGAGCTCATTAAAATTTTTTCTCCCCTCTTCTCCACTTCCCTCCATTTAATTTCCATCACACCAAGCATAGGGTAAGGGACTTTAGCCATGTCCAGCAGAATTAATTGGATTTTAGATAATAGGATCCAGATACTAACGGCTCCATTGTAGCCAAAGAAAAGAAAGAAAGAAAGAACATAAGGAAGAAGTAATGAATATCTAACTCATAAGCATGAAGATGATTCTAGCGAGCCATACGTAGATTACATGGTCCACACACTCACATTAGCCAGACAAATTATTCCCAGAAAGCAAGCAGACTATGATTTAGGTAGCAGTCTCGAGAGAATGTTTGCAATCACACACATAAAACTTGATGATAATGACGAAAACGAGTGTTGAGAGTAATATGGTAGTTATGTTCTTATAGTCTGTTATATATCGTTATCTTGAGAAATGTTATAGATTACCTCCAATCCGTAACATAAGAGTTAGTTGGAGATTGAATTTGATTCTAAATATAGACTTCAATCCATTTTGTCTCTCAAATTTATAATATTTTCTCTAAACTATCCCTATTGATTGTAACTTGCAAGACATTTTCACCAATGCATAGTTTTAATATACATAATTAAAGAGGGTAGTTCAGAGAAGTCAACACATATTTGTTACAATTATCTAACTTAACTAATTTTTTTAATATCTCCAGATTAGTTATCTAAAAGTGATATATAAGTAAGGCCTATGACTATAGATCCGCAACGTACGTAGAATCAATATATAGACTGCAGTTCTTCACCTCCTCTCCCATTTTCCCTTGACAAGTGCAAGAATACACAACCACACTTGCATTAGGAATTATATATGATCTATGGATATGATTACTTGAACAGGACTTATAAATACTCTAAAATTATGCATTTTTTATTTTTTTTTCTTTGAAAAACTATTAAAAAATTAAAAATTACATATTTCATCGCCGTGAGATATCAATATTTGGGAATATAATTGAAGTTGGGTCTAGGGCATTAGAGAACATTAGAGGGAAAAAAATATTGGAGGAACAAGGCATTTGGTCTTGTACCTTGGCTTCTGAGTCGGTATTCATGAGCGGATGATGATGTTCCTCTATTTGTTTAGTGTATCGCTCAATAATTGACTTCAGGCTGCCAATATTAAGCAGAGAATTCAATCAACCAAATGAAAATTAAATCAAGTTTTTGTCAATTTATAGTACATTCATGAACAAACTAAATGATACAGAGTCTTTGCAAATATTATCTCCTGTCCTTAATATAAGAGTTGCATTGTGTATAAGCCATGATTAATATGCACGCATAACTCATTCATTAAATTATGCAATACACAGAGAAACGTATCTAATTGTAAGCATCTATGGTAAATAAACAATTGGCTGTGTTAGATATACATAATTTTAGAATTACATCATATTCAATTTGAATTTAAAGGTTGCGTTTCTTTTTCTTTTTTTCCCGTTTCACTTAAAAGATGATAAGGTCTCTATACTATATATATGCGTCATATTATATAAATAAATACGGCTTTATTGAATTTTCAGATGTACTATAATCTTATATTTATATTAGATTCCCCATCTTTATGCAAAGCTTATTTGCACTACAAATAATATTGCATATACTTTCAGAATAACGGACCATACATTTTATTGAACTCACTCATATTTCAAACCATGTTTCAATTGAAAACCAACCTTAAGGTGACACACACACACACACACACACATTAATAAAGAATGAGTTGCATCAAGAGAAAATTCAGTGAGTTTTAATCAAGTTGACTGTAAGAACCAAATGGTTAATTTTCCTTATATAGATAAAAAAAGAGATATCTTTCTATGTGTATGTATTTGTGGATCTATATATGTATATATGAAAGCTAGCTAGCTAAAAGTGCGTCATGGCAGTGCAGTTCAATTTAACCAGAAAAGTTTGCTAGTCTGGTGAGGGATTAATTTGGATAGTTATTTTACAGGAAGCCAAGTGAAGTTTGGCCTCGCTACTTGAACTATAAGTGTGTCCATATATATATATAATTAACACAAGTTATCTTACATAATGTTTTAAATTAAAAGCGACCCACAATAGAAAAAACAAAGGCAGGAGAAAAGGAGAAAATCAAGCGTCTGTTACCGATAACATCACCATTCAGACAAGGTGATTCTGAAAATAACACCATTCAAACGCAAATGCATGGATGTTGATCATATTGTGTGTGTGTGTGTGTGTGTGAAAGAAAGGATATATGAGGAGAAAAAGGTAAAAAAAAAAAAAAACAGAGAAAACTAAAGCATCAATTACAAAATCTCATGTTATACACTTGAATATATGAAAGTGGGAAAATATACAAATAAAAAAGGTTAATTTCATCGAGTACCAACAACCACACAGTATCTGACAGTAATATCATCACATTCAAGAAAGTTTATCTCAGAAAGAATCAAGATCTGAAGGCATATAATCGAAGATAATTAAGCTGGCAGAAGAAAGAGGAACCTGGAGCTTCCATATTCATAGAGCTTGCGGGTGCTGGAGAACACAATAACCCCAACTTGTGCGTCACAGAGGATCGCAAGCTCTCTTGCTTTCTTGAACAGACCACTTCGTCTCTTTGAGAAAGTGACTTGTCTGTTGGTTGAATTGTCAATCCTCTTAATCGCAATCTTGGCTTTCCCCATTCCTCTAGGGTTTCTTCTATACTTCCCCTTCCAGATCAACCACACAAAAATTCAACAGAAAAAAAAATCTCAAACTAAAACACCATCCTCAAAGGAATGGGAATATATATAATATGTTTCAAAACCAAAGATATTACTTAAAAAGGAAGAAGCCAGAAAAAAAGAAAGATCGTAATCAAGAGTGCATATATGGTCGATGGTACTCACAGAACAATTGTAAGAGTAAGAAGACGAAGAAACAGAAGAAGGAGGAGAAGGAGAAGACAGGTTTGTTGGAGAAGGTCCTAATGAGAGAGGCTTTGTTCCCCTTTTAATTAATTATGCACTTCGAATACTTATATTTGCAAAGCACAAGTGGGTTTTGTTTTGTCCGCCTCGGTTCCTGTTTTTCTTGTGGTATTTTTAGGGCATTTCTAATGTATCATGAGTAGATTAAGAAAAATTTTAAATAGCAATAGTTACTCCAGTATTAAAATATAACAATTTGTCTTTTACCAAAAAATAATTTTCATAACAAAACTAACAATAAATGAAGCACAAAATGATACATTCATACTAAAATTATTGTTGTGGCTTATAAATAGAATGAAGAAAAACATAAAATTTTTCTTGCTGCCCTATAAATTAAATAGGATCATATGAGTATTATTTTTAACATAAGAAACGTTTTTAACATTTGAATAGAGGTGCATTCAATACCCTGATCTTATTTTTGAGGTGCACTCAGCATCCTGATCTATTGTATGATGCATCCAACATCCCAATATTATTCTTTTGGTGCATCTAGCACTCTAATCTGATTGGGATGTTGGATATAACCAAAAAAATAATATCAGGGTGCTGGACGCACCGGAAAAATAAGATCAGAGTGTTAGATGCATGGTACAAAAGAGTAGAATGCTGGATGCACCTAGAAAATACGACTAGTGTGTTGACCCTTAATATTTTCTTGTTTTTCATAAGCTTCTCGCCATGAGACACTCTTATTAAACCTGTATTTTAAACGTTTTATCTTATGATGTACCACTCTGGTTATTATTATATGTCATTTGTAGGAAGGGATTTTGGTCATTTTTATTTATCACTTGTATCTTTTTTAATGCTTATTTCCCATTCTGCCCCTATTAATTACAGTAAAGGTGAAGAAAGAGAAAATGAGTGAAAGAAAATATATTAGTACAAAAGTAAAAGATTTTATCTGTTTAATACTTTCTTTGATATGTGATAAAAACTTACAAGTAACAAATAATAAATACGAGAGTGGTATTCCTCTACTTCTAATTACAAGTGAGAGAGGAATTTTGGTTGATTCCATTCATAAGCCACTTTATTAAATATTTAACATGACTATTCTACAGTGGCATTTAATACAAGTCATTTGCAAGTTGTAACACATTTTTACGTACTAGGAAATACATTAAATTAATAAAAAAATTTATTTTATTTTTATTAAATTTTTTTGTCTATTTATATTCAGAAATCATTCTTATCTCTTCTTTTCTCTCTTTTAAGTGAGAATTAAATAAAAGTGAAATTGAAAACAAATCTTAAACATATTAAGATATATAACAAAGGATTTAGATTAAGGACCAAAATTTTTCCCCACAAATGACTTATTTTAGGACTAGAGTGATATTATTTTACTCTCTATCTATTAGTATATATATAAAATGGCTATAAAACTATAAAATTCTCAAATTTTAAGACAGAACAATTGAAAAACCGCAAGTGGTTGTCACGTGAAATATCTGCGAGTGGAGAAGCTTTTTTCCTCGGACTAGTTGGGATTCAGGAAATTGTGGGGACCCTAGAAAGAGACAAGGAAATGGAAACGAATGGGAAGGTGACACGTAGGATGTTGAAAACTGAGGGTGCTTATATTTTCCAGCCTTCAGGTGAGGGACGAGGCGAGCGATAAGTAGCTAGCATGGACATGACTCTGACCAGACAACTCACAATATTGAATATAGAAATTCGGAGCTCGCCTTCTAGATCCGTTGATTTTTTTCCCTTGAGCTTAGGATATTAATTTGCTCCTTCAATCCTTAATATAAAACCTGCTTAATTAATTTGATTAGATTAAAAAATTTGCATAAATTAGTTAATTATAAAAAAATGTGACATGTTTTTTTAAAACACCATAATCATCTTTCTTAATATCCTCTCTCCCTCTTCTACTTGGTTAAAGGAGTATCATAGGGATAATCTAAAAAAAATTGATAAATATGAGAAATAGATTTTATATTTAAGACCAAAATTAACTTAATAATTAGGTCATATATTAAGGAGTAGAGGAGTATTTATCTTCCCTTCTACTATTGCACAAGCTTAAAAATTAGATTCAACACATTGGTTTTTCTTTTTCGGGTTCCCTTAATATTATCTGTAGTGCACCTCTTAGGATGGTTAATGTAATTAAAAACATAACATTAGAATGTTGGTTGTACTAGGAAGATAAGATTAAGATATTGGATACATTTGAAAAATAAGATTATGATACTACTAGATACTCCCTCTTTTCGTTTTTATAAGCAATATTGAAACTCATCATGTAGATCAAAATGTTAGTTAAAATTAGTTAAAGACAATAAGTATGTAGAAATTAAAATTTTCTTCACTGAAATGCCCTTATTTATGGGGGAGAAAAAGTATAAGAGAGAGAATAAAAAAATAATTATAATAAAGAGAATTATGGAAGAGAGAGAAGGCATGATAGAGAGATGATGAGTTGAGAAATAAGATAATAAATATATTGAGTATTAAAATAAGTAATTAATGAGGGCAAAATAGGAAATTTGCTATAAAATTGAAGACAACTTACAAATATTGCTTATATTTAGAGACCAGAGGGAGATGGTAGTTGTTGCTTATAAAATGGGATGGAGGGAGTATGTATCTTTACCCTTTTTATATAATTATTCAATATTTAATGTTATCATGTTAACTCTAAGAATTGTTGAATGCAATTAAAGATAATTTTTCTAAGGTTAAGGTTCATCAACACTTTCAAATATTTTTTTTTTAAATACATCCAGATGTACTATAGCTCATCCAACACTTCAAAATATTTTGTTATTCATCCAACACTCAAATATTTTTTAAGGTACATTGAGCATCTTAATTTAGGATTTAGACTTTAGGTTTCATGGTATTTACAGTATTTGATGCACTTAAAAAAGTATTTTAGAGAGTTAGGTATGTCACAACATACTTTGAATTACTGGATATATTTGAAAAAAATATTCTACAATGTTGGATAAACCACTAAATATTTTAAGGTACTCAAGAAGTCGGAACCGATGTTTCTAGTATGATCCTTTTCTAAGAAATTTTTCTCGCCAGCCGTTTTCTAAGCATATTGTAGAAATAGATACGTGTAAAGAAATCTAATTGACATGGTAAGAAGATTAAAAGTCCTTTTATTGGTTGTATACAAAGAACTAACCGGTCCTTCTTTGACCAAGTTCCCTTTTCCACCCAATTGTTTGGTTCGAGGGAATTGGAGGGAAAATTTTTTTTAAAAAAAGTTAGTGAGTTTAATTTTTAAAAATGAAGTGAGGTGGACAATTTAATTAAATTTTTATAATCTCAGTTGTCTATATATTTTTTGAAAATGAACTCATTAAAATTTTTGTCTGCTCGTTCTCCCTCCCTTTGACCAAAAAAGGGTAAATGGGTGATAACGTAATCATGGCAAATTAACCTATTATAATGGTATACTTCTCCATCCCTTATTAGAAGATTCAATTTTTCGAATTGGCTTGTTTCTATTTATAAGATTCTTTTTAGGTTTCTCTAAACAATAAATACATTTTTACCTTCTTTACGTTTAATTAATATACTCTCTCTCATTATCTCTTTTCCATACATTGTCACATTTTGTTTTTTCTTACTAACACCTATCCACTTATAAATAAGGACATATTTGGGAACAAAGGTACATTTTCAATATATTTATTACTTTTAACAAATTTTAATAATTCTTTTAAACTATGTAATATAGTTAAGTGGATCTTATAATAAGGGACAAAAGGAGTATCACGGAGCTGAGCTATCATCATACTCATGTTTACTAAAATTACTTTTAGAAATAGAGCTAATGAAAAAAAATATTTTGAGATATTGAATGTATTAAAAATCATTTTAAGATATTGGATATTACTAGAAAATTATTTTAAAATGCTGGATGAACTAATAATTACTTTATGATATTAAATACTATCAAAAAAATATTTTAGAGTACTGGATGAGTATCCCAAACGAGGTAGTTCTGGGGTCAAAAGCGGCAGCAAACTAGAAGGGAAAAGGAGAGTAGCGAGATTCAAATTACTCGAGTCAATGAAAATATTTTATAGTAACTACCCCAATCCAACAAGTCAAGGAAATAGACAATTCAATATTCTAGTTCAAAACTAATAAAGGACAACTCCAAAATTTCAGTTCAAGTTCCCAAAATATTGAAAACAACAAATAGCTCCTAGCCAGAGTTACTTTTGAAGCCACCTTAATTAGAGCATAGAGCTATAATTAATCTATACAGTTCCAATCCCTCCTTTAAACCAGTATCCCTTTAATTTATGGTTTAATCAACTCATTAGAGATATGAATTAATTAAACAATGGGATTGGAATTAGCAGAAAGGCCAACCCTGTGGCGAACTAATGTTCGAATCCCTAATAAGAGATTCCACATTTAGGGACAATGCTCAAAAGGAAGGGGCCAATCCCTTATAATGTAGCGAACCAATATTCAAATTTCCATTGGGAAAGATTCCACATTTAGTGTGCTTGATAATGCTTTAAATAAGATTACCTTTAATAGGAGAATATTTGTGCTTAGCAAAAAAAAAAAAAAAAAAGAGATATGAATTAATTACTTAACAAATCCCCGTTAATTCACCAAAGGCTCCCAATCCGTTGTGCTAGGGTTCATCGGCCGACATGGTTGGGTAGCATTATTCAGTAAGCAAGTTAACGTGATCAGATCAATTAAATTGCAAATGTATATAAATAGATAAATACAAGTTGATCTGCAAATCATGTGCTGGGCCGGAGATGGCTTATTATATTCCTGAACCTTCCTCTGATAAGTCACCAAAATTATCTTATCATGGCCAGTTTGTGACCCTCTCTGCCAACTTTATAAAAAGATTCGTTGTTGGGAAAAAAAAATCAAGTATGAACACAAGAAAGAAAAAGTATCATACATATGCAGTAAACAGTAAAATATTGATTTTTAAGAATAGCGAACTAAATTTTAGTACTGAATGTAAGTTTATGAATTCTTCTACCCCTATACGTATTATTAAGCTTTATTCTGTTTGATGCGAGACTTTTCACAT